AGTTGAATATCAATACTATAATGGTAAGTATGTGTATATATATATTTATCTTTTCAAAAAAATGTTTGTGCATATATATATATATATATATATATATAAGTCCTAATTATGATCCATAAACTCCATTTAGTTAATTAAGGATGATATTTAACGAGTTAAATCACTCGTTTCAAGAATACATCACGTCGGACACGATAGATATAACATATTATATATGTGTGTGTGTGTGTATATATATATATATATATATATTCTGGGGATAAATAAATAAAAAATTTAAAAAATTGAAAGGTTAATTGACTAATTGCCAAGCAATTGAAGTTGACTTTGATACTGATACATTGTCAACATATGCTTCAAGCTGCAATTAGGAATCTCTTTTTCAATCCCTTAAATTTTATAAAACAACTTTGTTCTCAACTGGTCCACTAGCTTTATTTCTGTATTTATCTGTAGTTTGTGTATATATACACACACATATTTCTATGTATAATTATAATTTATTAACTATTTATATATATATATATATGTATCTAATGACTAATGATACCAGTGTATTTTTATTAAAACAATATGTATAATTATAATTCAAATTGTAATTTACAGATCCAGAGAGGTTCAGATTTGCAAGGGATACTTCGTTTGGTCGTCGGCATCTGAATTGTTGGAGTCAATTTCCGATCACCATTTGGATTGTGAGGGCTACATCAAGATCTGAAATTTCATTTCTATATCACCATTTTTGAGTTTAATATGATAAGATGAAGCTTTTATATATACAGTAAATATTAGAGTCTGTAACTTCTACGGTAAATGCTTACGAGATGTTTTTACATACCAGGTCTGTTTCTTCAGACAGTTCTTTGGATCAGTTACCAAAGTTGATTACCTCACACTCAGACATGGATTTATCGCGGTAATTAATCAAAAAAGTATTCTGATATATGTATACATATGTACATATAAGATGGTTAATTTATATATATATATATGTGTGTGTGTGTGTGTGTGCATGATTTCAGGCACATTTGCCACCCGGTAGCGAAACCAAATTCGATTTCCAGAAGTACATTAAGAGATCATTAGAAGAGGATTTCAAAGTTGTGGTGGGGATCAGGTCTGTGCTATATATATATCAATTGTATAAGCTCATATATATATATATATGGATATATAATTGGTTTGTAATTCCTAAGACTTAATTATTTGCTTTTGCGTTTTGCAGTCCTGTTATCTGGTTCATTGCTGTATTGTTTCTTCTAACTAATACTCATGGTAAGCACTAACAGTGTTCTAAGGAAACTAGTAACCAATTCATTACCTTGTTTTAGTTTAATCAATTCTGAATCATAATCACTAACTGTATATGTTCTTTACTATGATCAAACAGGATGGTTTTCATATCTTTGGTTCCCATTTATCCCCTTAATTGTAAGTATTGCGAATTCGTCTAACTCGATTTATACACATACCCAAGATCAACTAACGTGTTGCCGATGCAGGTAATTTTGCTGGTTGGAGCCAAACTTCAAGTTACAATAACAAAATTGGGATTGAGGATTCAAGAGAGGGGAGATGTGGTTAAAGGCGCTCCAGTTGTCCAGCCCGGAGACGATCTTTTCTGGTTCGGACGTCCTCAATTTATCCTCTTCTTAATTCATCTCGTACTCTTTACGGTAAATTTCTCGAAAAGGAAAAAAAATTCTCAAATCTATATATTACTTTTTACTCGATCTATTTCTTTAACATTAGTTAAATTTTCTTTTTTTTTTTTTTTAAACCTGCAGAATGCATTTCAGCTTGCTTTCTTCATCTGGGCAACGGTAAATTTAATTATTTCAGAGTTCAGAAAAGGGTTCTTGGCATCAGAATTTAAGAGCAGCAACTTTTCTAATTTTGTTTGATTTCATTGTTCTTTTCAGTACGAGTTTACCATAAGAACCTGCTTCCACCAACGATTGGAAGATATCATTATTAGAATCTCCATGGGGTAATTCTTCTTTTCAACTGCAGTAATTTCAGTGCCTAGTCTCGGACTGTAAGTAACATGTTTCAAAAATTTTCAGGGTCCTCATACAGGTTCTTTGTAGTTACGTGACTCTGCCTCTCTACGCACTTGTGACCCAGGTGAGAACAAGAAAAAACATTAACCATCGTAAAAATTCAGAATTGAGATCAAACTAGCCAGGATTAAAATTACTGATCTGTAAATTACAGATGGGATCGACAATGAAACCTACAATTTTCAACGAGAGAGTAGCAACGGCACTTAAAAGTTGGCGTCAAACAGCAAAGAAACACACGAAACACGGTAGGAATTCCGAGGCTACGACGCCATTTTCTAGCCGGCCAACAACTCCTACCCACGGCATGTCACCAGTTCATCTCTTGCACAATTACAATCACCGCAGTGTTGACAGCTACCAAAACTCTCCGAGGAATTCCAACTTCGACAACGATCAATGGGATCCCGAGGCGTTGCAAAATTCTCCGGGATATCACGAGATAAGTGACTCCGATGAAGCCAAACATTCGGATAGTCTTGGAGGACAAAATAGGCCAGCAATGGCAGAACCAGTCTCCGGTCAGCTGCCTCCGGGGCCTGCTGCTATTAGGACGCAACGAGAAATCAATATAGGTTCATCAGAATTCAGCTTCAGCAAGTGATCAACCTACTTATATACACACACACACATATATATATATATGTATGTTACTACTAACCACATATCATGTCTGCATTTCTTATACATGATGATCGCATGCATTTGAGCCTCATCAAGATCAAATTTCTGCAACTAATGCATAGGTAATCGATTATATGCACTTGATCGGAGAATGTTAAGACTCTGTCAATTTCTCCAAGAACTCCGTATTCTACTTCCCTATTGTATCTTGTACAGATATAAATTTTGATTTATGATATTTTTCCATATTACCCAAATCTTAAATCTTTAAACCCATTTTATGATAATTAATTTTTATTAAGCAAAAGATAATTATGATTATATATTAATTTTTAATATTATCTATTCGTAAAAATAAATTTAATATATAATAATTATCAATTAGTTAGCAATTAAAATAAATAAAATAATCCAATAAATATAAATATGAGACGCACGATCACACTGGTAAACCCGGAATTAGAAATATTATATCGTATACAATAAAATAAATTCTCAAGAACGCATCTCTAATCTCTTCGTTGTAAAAGAAAAGAACAATCGATCGGTCGATTGATCAAGTAAATTGGTTGAATTGATTAATTGATCGTCTTCCGTTCATTTTTTTTTTTGGTTGTAAATTTGAGATCCGTCTTGATCTATCGGTCATGGAGGTCCGGCACAATCCGACGGTCGACAACTCGCCGATCTCGCCGCCGCACCATCCGCGCCGTTCTCCTGCAGCTGCTTCCAAGCAGCCCGCTGCTACTCCTAACCCTTTTGACACCTTCTCCGTTTCTCAGAGGTCATTATTCGTTTTGGTCCGAACATTTTCTTCTTTGAATTTCCGTTTGTTTCCCGGGAAAACGTCGAAAAGAGAAATAACAGAGTCTAAAGGAAGAAAAGAAAGAGAGATGGATGAGCTTTAGGATTTTTTGATTTTGTCATTTGGTCTGTTTGCTTCGAAGGAAAATCTAGGGAGGGGAGAGTAGAGGAATTGCAAGTAGTAAATACTGAGCTTCATGTTAGATTATAGAGAATATATGAAGTTGAAATATCGGAGGACTGATTTTACAGGATTAGCTGAGTGGTTTTTGTTGGTTTCCTGGGTTTTAAGATAACGAACTTCTGATGTATAAGATTTTGAATTTCTTTTCTTTATATAGGCCTTCTTTGGTTTCTCTGCTTTTGTTCATGTTTCGCTTTAATTTTATCTAGTCTGTACACTTTTTTGCCATTCTTGTTTTTGATTGTCATGAAAATAAATGGAAAGCAAGAGGAAAAAAAATCTTTTTACAGTCTATTGAAACCATATTGCCTGGCCCGAAACTATTACATGAAATTGTTTTAATTTAAAATCAATGATTCTTTTTGGTTCGATGTAGTTGCCTCTCCCTGTTTGTGTGTACTTGTTCGTGAAATAAACAGTTGCTTAGGGTTTCAAGGTGATTCCATTATTCTTTTGCAGGCTTCAGAAGGAGTTGATGTCTCTCATGGTATGGAGATCGTGTTCCCAGTGCTTCTTCCAAAAATTCTGTTTCTTATTTCCATTTCTTGCTAGTTATGCCACTTTTTCCTCTGAATTTCATAATCTGTTTTCAATCTTAACTTTATGATAGGAAAAGAGAGAAAATGTTAAGCAACTCAGTCTTTCTTTTGAGAATTTTAGTTATTTGTATAATCATGCAATAGTTTTGTCGTGCTAGGTTCTTATGCATACTTCTCCAAGGAAATAAGAGTTAGTCGGACTACAGGCAGTTAAAAAATTCTGCTACCTGGCAAAAGATAATTTAATTCGTAATCTTAATGGAACAATACGATTTTCAGCTAGCTAAAAGAACTGGTGTAGGATAATTCTGTAGTTTGTTATGCTAGTAATTGTTTTTTCTGGCAGAATTCTTGAAGGAATACTTAGTGCTTCATTCTGAGTGTTTGAAATATGCTGCTAAACTCTTGCCTGATTACAGAGTCTTTCACTTTAATATGGAAGTTCCTAGGCTCAAACGAGGGTAACATTCTGTCCATTATTTCATTAAAGGAAGGTGTGTGACACGGATGAGATTACCACTGGTTAATAGTTGTAGCATCCTGCTGTTATTATCTAAACACTGTTGGGAGGACTTATTGTATTCTTCTTGTATGGTGTGGAAAGTTTCTATTTTGGTGACTATGATAATTAAATGTTTACCACTGAAGTTAAACAAGTAAATTGTGCTCTAGATGGTCTGGGTTTTCACATCAACAAGCATTGTTATGGACATGGCTCAGTTCTTAAGAGTTGAATAGCTTATCGGTGCTTCTATTATATAGAAATCATTGAATCATTTATAAATGGCTCTATGGGACTGAATCTATGCTTCACACCCGGACTATGGCTAAGGAAGAGTAATTGCATGCTGAAGTATTAGTGGCTTTTCACCCAAATGCATATTTGTCTGTTTCTGCAGATGGGTGGAGGAGATCTAGGAGTGTCAGCATTTCCTGAAGGTGAGAGTATTTTTACGTGGATTGGTACAATTGAGGGTGGAAAAGGAACAATGTATGATGGTCTATCATACAAACTTTCCTTGCGTTTTCCCCTCGATTACCCATTCAAGCCACCGCAAGTCAAGTTTGAGACCATGTGCTTCCATCCAAATGTTGATCAATTTGGCAACATCTGTCTTGACATCCTTCAGGTATTAATCAGCTTGTTAAAGGATGATATTTGCAGGAAAAACAAACACAAAAACCTTCTTGCTTTGGGATTAGCACTTGGACCAATTTTTATGATCTTGGCTATTAGTGCCGTAAGAGTCAGTTGGATACATTTGGGGCTACCTAGGTCAGTTATATAGAGTACTGGAAGGATCTTGGGCATAAAATAGAATTTTGTAAAGTCTTCCAAAGTTATTTTCTAAGGCTGAAAAAAATTTAACTTTTTGCTATTCTAGTTTCATTATTTCTTTATACACTCTTATTCCATATTTTAAAGAATGTAAAATGATGTTGATATTCTGCTTCATGGTTCCTTATATTACTATTTTGTTGCCCCAGGATAAATGGTCTTCTGCTTACGATTGTAGAACAATTCTTTTGTCAATTCAAAGTCTATTGGGAGGTCTTTATTCGCTTTCCTTGGATGCTTAATTTTAAACTCTGGAAGTTCTTTAACTTTAGTTGCTTAATTACTAACTTCTTACGTGCAGAGCCCAATCTAGAGAGTCCACTCAACAGCTTTGCTGCTGCGTTGTGGAAAAATAAGGAAGGTCAGATAACGATCTTTATCTCTCATCTAATTTTTCTGCTTCCGAGAAAATAGATCTCTATTTTTAATCAGAAAAGAAAAAGAATCCATTTAGAGAGAGAATACCTGGGAGTAGGATAAGATATCATCCCCAAATAGCCATCCAGTCCAATCTCTTTGCATGATAGACAAAGGTAGGCTAGAAAAGATCTATGGGCCTTGATTCAGAAAGATACCAAGAAGCGCAATCTGTTCCTGAGAACATGTGGGGACGGAAGATTGCTGATTAAAAGTTCTAAAATTGTGCTTTAACTGTAAAATTTTATCAGGCCTTGTGTCATTCTGTTCCTCTATAACGAAATAAATAAATAAAAAGGCAATCATTGAACTGTAGCAATAATTTCTATAGACATGCTTTTCCTTTACAAAAGGCCATGGTTAACAGTGAAAAGTTATTTTTAATTTTCATTTTCTAAATTAATGTTTGTCTAACTAGAAATGAAAACACAATACAGTCTTCTAAAATAAAAAAAGGAGAGGTGGAGGGGGAAAATATTTTAGTTTTTGGGCTTTTCTACTCTTAGGATTAGGATTCATTCGAAGTTCTTAACACTGTTATCACTCTGAATCTTCTGAACATTGACTTACATAGTTCTATAGCCTTGTTTCCCTCGCTTGAGCATTCTGGAAGTTAGAATCTACCTTATGTGCCGTGAACTTTCCTTATATTTAAACAGATTACAGACAAACGGTCCAGAAGCAGTATTTTTCCGGGGAAGCAGTTGAGAGCTGATCAGCAGCGCGGACGACAAAACTTTTGCTTTCTTTTTTCCCATACAGATTTCCATGTAAAGCTTGGATGAATGACTTTTGTTTCCTTTCCCCTTCTGTAATGGGATGTATTAGTCTTGCTTCCGGTGAATATATCTTTACACATATAATGTTGAACGAGTAGGCCACTTCAGTTTATTGATTTGGTTACTGAACTTTTCCGGTGAGATTGCAAATAAAGTCTGAAAAAATTATTTTACCTGTTTTAGCTGTATGTGGTATACGTTATCTATGATTTATTATTTATGATCTATATAAAAAGAAATTGGAAATTGCTACTTAGTATTTTCTTATTTTTGTGAAAAATTTCTGAATTTTAAATATGTAAAGTCCGAGCACCACTATTAGAATAAAACAATTAGAATTAGATTTGATTACCTGAAATATATTTTTATTCATACAGAAAATCTTTCAACTAGAAAAATTCATCAACCTAAGACTTAAAATTACACAAAGTGCATCAGATTCTCTCACTGCAGTAATAGGAACAATCCCCTGCATATAGACTCAGCACTTGCATCCTCTCCGCAGATCGTGTGTCAGATTCTGAGTCCTTTTTTCTGATAATTGCCAGTTTGAAGCTTGCATAATTCTTGCCATATGAAACTCTAATATTAATGGTTCATGCATACATACAAGATCCCATGCCAAAATCAACGAACTGATTTCTGGGCATACATATATCTATACTCATGTTGCTCTGTTCCCAGAAAGTTAAACAGAGACAGCAAAAGCTTTGCAATCCAAACCTAGTCTACAATTCAGTTGCCTGAATGATATTTACAGAAATTTTCATGATGTTGTAGAGGAAATGACAAACAAATTAATCCTCCGAACAATCTGTAAAAGCAGCAGCTTTACAAATGGGACAGGTATTCTTCGTTAACAACCATCTCTCTACGCACTCCACATGGTACTCGTGACTGCAGTTCTTTAGTGTCCCAATTTCCTCATCCTTCTTGTAGTTTTCCTGTCAATTGCAATTGCAAACAATATATACTGAATTTCTTATCTATTGAGAAAAAACATATACATAAGTATATATACTTCGTACAAAAAGAAGAATTAAAAAACTAATCAAAGCACATCAAATCAATTTTCATATAATGGGATTTCCAAATCAGGTATCCCGTATATTAAGGAGGATTGAACTTTCTAATATTCAAGCTTTGGAAATATTTTGTTTGACTCCTTTATAACTCATGACCTAGTGATGGGGCCTTCACTGCAATCTAATTACATTTGCATACTACTCATTCTAGTAATGATTTATGTCTACATCCTCCATGCATATAAAATATTTTCCAGTTAAAAAAGCAAGGATTTCGCTAGTTACAAGGCAGATTGTGCAAGTTGCTCCCTCCTGGTTTCCATCTGAAATGCATCTTTCTTTCCTCAAGCATGCTGAAATCACATCTTTAGACAATCCTGTACTGACATTACCTATTCTTTCTCCAAGAGCAAGCAGTTCCTGCAAGCAACAATAGATGTTACTTGAAAGCTACAAAAACACCATAATAAATCAAGGTGACAACTGAATAAAATAACCTCGTAGCTCATATTGTTGATATCCAGCCTCATGTCCCTATACTGATCAAAGAAATTTCTGGACTCATATAAAGATAACCGATCATCCATCATGAGTGTCTGTAAGAAAATGCAGATTAGATGTTCACGTTCAGTCAAGAAACGGCAAGAAAACTGCTATATATCTAGCAAAATTTTGGTTCACACCGTGGAAGGAGTAAGGATGGCAGAGATGGTTATATCCTCACAAAGAAAATGCAAATTCAAATTTATAAACCTTCCAGATTGAAACAGATGAACATTTGCAATTTATAATGATTGTTTACCTAATAATCACATATTTTCCCATTGATAATAGTATACATGTTCCCCAAGATGTTTGAAGACCAACTGGAGTGATTTAACATCCAATAAGTATATACTAATTTCTGGTCCCAAAAGACATGATTGTAAATTGAAAGTTGCACACCTCAGAGTTCATTCTATCAAGCGGGTTCAATGCATTTGGTTGTGATTGGAATCTCTCAGTGTCCATCCTTGAACTTATGTCTCTTAGATCGTTATGCCAACCTCCTGTAGAAAACGGTCTCGAAAATCTGGAAGCATAGGTTTCTGAAAGAAGCTGCAGACCACGTTCTGGTCGGCCTGCCTCTTGTCTGAAGTGAGAGGAACCTGACTCAGACATGTATGAAGGAATAGGCCTCCAAGAACAATGACTATGGTCGGCCCTCAAGGCCTGGGAATGGGAACCAAATGGATGAGGAGAAACTGGAATGTGATTTCTGCTTGAAATGCTATCATGATTGAACCCATCAGTCCCTACACTGCTTCCTCCAACAAAATGCCGATTCATCTCATGTCTTAACCCAGTATTTACTGCAATTATCTAAATATTTTAGTAAATATTGAAATAAGCGAGAATAAGAAGAAATGCATCATCAACTAACCTGTAGTTTGAAACCTTCCAGGAGCTGGAGGAGCAGCAGCAATATGGTTATGATTATAAGCAGTTGCATCAGAATTGAGATAGTTAATATCCATAGGCCCAGAATGATTCAACTGATGAGGTATTGGACAATAATGATGTGAAGAATAACTAGAAAAATTTCTATTTGAGTTGGATTCTAAATTAATTCTAGACCGGCTTCTCACGTTCCTTGCGGCTGCAGCATGGTCTGTACCAATTGAAAGGCTGCCACCCCTATAGCGAGGTAAGCTACTGGAACTTGTTGGGTGACATTGGTAATAGACTGGTGGTTTTCCTGACTCATGTCCATATGAGTTTGAGGAACTTCCAGCACCAAAGAATCTCCTACCACTGCCCCTCTCACCTTCTGCAGAAAAGGTGGAACTTTTCCTCTTAAATGGTCCTCTTTCAGAGTTCACTGTGTGATGAAATGAATCATCTTGAACTTCATGAATGGTATGCCTATTGTAGCAACTGGAAGGAACATGGCGAGGATCATTATCTGGGACATTGTATAACCTCCCTCCAGCTGGAATGTTAGGGAAGCAATTATAAGAAAGGCCTGGATGAGGAGAAGCATAAGAATACAGATCTCCTACTCTGGAACCTGATGAAAATTGCTCCACAACTCTGGTGTCTAATTCTCGCTGTGAATAACAATATTGTCCTCTTTGTGGGATATTATCCACTGAATAAACAAGAGAAGAACTCTCTGGAGCTACAGCCCTTCCTGCAATATATGAAAATGTTTAAAAGTGACTCTGGAGGAAATATTTTTTGAGATAAAAGAAGACTTTATTGGCATTGAGAGAAAGAATTACTGTGAAGGAGAATAAGACATTCTCCTCAGTAATAAAAGAAAAAAAGAAACCCAAAGAAGCCAAGGAAAAGAAAAAAACATAATACAAAGGCTACATGCTGTGAACAAATAAATTCCAGCTATAATGGAGATTGGAGATGCTAATGTCATGAAAGTAACCATGCACTTCGGCCACAAGGAAGCTGAGAAAGTAACCCTCTCCCACAGCTTAGAATAAGGAGTATGTCTATTGTTAAAGATTCTAGAATTGCGAGCAAGCCACACACACCATAGGCCTGCCAAAAGAATACCTTGCCAAATGGTTTGGCTTCTTTGCTCGCTCCTGTCTCTTTGATAAAAGCATTAAGCATAGTAATTACTGTTGGGGGCAAGTCCCAGTGACAACTGAACAAATTAAAAAATACCCATCCATAGCTCAAACAATGTCACAATGAAGGAACAAATGAGAGTGTGTTTCTCCTTAACATATTACAGGAGAAGGGGCCCTATAAGGATGGTGGATTTGGAGCAAGTTATTCGTGTTTTTGGGGAAATATTAATGTAATTGATGTAAGTATCAGGGGCCACTATGGCAGTCAGCAGGGCTTTATTCCTAGTTAAGAGCTTGGAAATTTAAAATTCTCTTTAGAATGTAAAAGGCCCCGTAAAAGTTAATTAATTAGTTTTTCCATAAGAAAAAATGTTACTCACAGAGGCACACTAAGGTGGGGGTGTCTAAATTCAGAAGACCTGCAACTCTATGAACATCAGAATATCTTCTTCATCTATGCAATAATGCCCATTAAGCAAAATTGAAAATTTTCTAACCATCTATATCTGATTAAAAAGGGCTCCTATGGCCCAAAGTTCCTCTATTTCTATCATCCCTTATCATCTAAAAAAACACAATGTTGAGTTGTGGCTTATTAACTATAAATTAAATGGGAGTTGAATCAAACACAACCTTACAGTATGTCGGTAGTTTATCATTCTGAGGAACACAAGAGGTGAAGGAAGGTATGGTTTGATAATAATTCTATAAGAAAATTTCTAGAGAGAGTCAAAGAGAGTTAAGTGAAACCCTTGTAACTCCTCTTACTTTTTGTCCAACTCTTGAGAAATTTGCATTACTTAGTCAACAGTATTTTTCTGGTGAAGTTATTAACTAACAATTTTATTTATAACTTGTAGCATATCTTTTAATACTGAAGGATATTTCGCCCTTCTCTGTGTTTCGTTTTTTACTTGGGAGGCTAGCAGAAAATGTTTTTTGACTATTGAAAATTTGAGAGAAATGGGAAAGATACTGGTCAATTCTTGTTATTTTTGTAAGAGGGCTTAGGAGACTTGTAATCATGTTTTGCTTTGGTGTCCTGCGATTTATAAATTGTGGACTATAGTTCATTGGGTGTTTGACATCAGTTGGGTATGAAAGGTTCAGTGAGAGAAGAAATTTGGGCATGGAAGGGCATTAGTGGCCAAAGGAAACAAGTGGATATGATTCCATTCTCTATCTTTTGGATGGTATAGAAGGAGAGGAATAGAAAAATTCTTGATGGTTGAGGATGTAAATGGTTTTGATATCCTTAAGAATAGATGGTTCTTAGACCCTTGGTTTTTTGTTACGAACTCATTCTCTTTATTTTATGGAAGATTTTGGGGACTTTGTTGATACATTGATTGACTTGTAAATTTTGTACATGAGTGACACCCCCTTGGAGCCTATATCAATGCACTTTCCACATTTTATATTTAAAATATATATATATATATTGAAGGATTTTTCAATGATATTAGTAAACTTCCACCTAACTTTATTCCCCTCAGCGAAATAAAGTGGGATTGAAAACTTCTTACATTCTTTATTTCAATTAACTCCCATATGGAATTTGATTCCATACCTATTTAACACTACCTTCTTCTACTTTACTTCAAAAATCCTAGTTCACTTTCTTGTCAAAGTAACTAGGTATCATACCTAGGATCCCTTAAGTATCATGCATTGGAAAGAAATGTGGAAAAAAGCATGCATGGGTAGGAACAAATTCTAAAATTGTATAAGGTAAAGGGTTGTCATGGGGGACAAAGTTCGCTTCTGGCATGCTGCTTAATTAAAGGGGATCACTCAGATAACAGTTTTCCCAAATATATGATATTAGACAGCACAAGAATATCTCAGTACACGAGTCATATAGAGATAATAGGGAGGAAGGAGAGTGGTATGTGGAAGTAATAAGAAACCTCAACAATTGAGAAGTCAATAATTATGAAACTCTCCTCCGTACACTCTCTACCACTACATGCAATGAGAGTAACAACCAACTTATTTGGAGACTCAATGCTAGGTCTTTCTCGATCAGATTATTCTATAATTATTTGACTAAAAATGGGATTCTAGACACTAGTTTTTCTTTTCGGCAAATCTTAAAGGTTAATACTCCACCTAAAATTGCTTTCTTTGAGTGAGAAGCAGGTCGTGGATGTATCCTTACTATTGAAGAACAGATGTTTCTTATGTAAGAGGGAGATGGAATCCTGTAATCATATTTTCCTTTTGCCCGTTTGTGTATAAATTGTGAATCTTGGTTTATGAGTTACTCGGAATCCTATATTTTGGATAGGATGCAAAGAGAGGAATAGGAGAGCTTACGAGGAGTTAGAAGATAATTTAATAAGGTCGGAGATAAATGATTTCAGATCCTGGTATTTGATTATGGATCATTCTCTTTACACAATGGAGGATTTTGAGGATTTTATTGATATTTTAATTGACGTGTAAGTATTCTTTGTAAATGGGTTGACACCATTTGGTGCTTGTGAATGATTGAATCACACCATATTTTTTATTTAAAAAAAATAGTGTGCTTTGATTGCACCAAAAAAAATAAAACACAGTTGCATCACACAATCATAAAGCATAAATATATATGCCCAATATAAATTCCATCAATAACGTGTTCTATCGGAAGAAATCACAAGAGTACTTGTAGACCCTAATTTTATCTTACCACTTATCTTACCCTGTTTTTAAGATAACAGGAGAAATATAATATTAACAAGCACCAATGAGGTGCTAACACATCCAAAGGGTTTTACAAATGATCAGACAGCAAAATATCTATAAGGTTTCTCAAATTCTCTCCATTCAAAATAGAACGCCATATAGAAAAATTACTCTGGGTACGGTACCAATAAGCTCTGGTTCTATCAAAAGAACCAGGTGTCCTCATAAATCCTCTTTTTCTTTTCTCTAAATAACCCAAAAGATATGATTAGGTATAGGAATTAAGAATTTCTTTTCTCTGCTTAACTCCAAAGGGCTCTTTGCTGTTAAGACTTTTTACATGCATCTAGTGAATAAGAATGAAACTAGTATGGAGCTGCTTGCAAAGCTGGTCTGGAGGTAAATGCGTCGCCTAGGGTGGGTGGATCTTTTTCTGCTTGGGAGACTGCTAGGGAGTGTAACCTAACTTCGGAAAAGTTGATTAAGAAGGGAAGAGTTTCGGTTAATGGCTGCTGTCTATATAAAGAGTGATGTAGAATTGTGTGACCATATCTTGCTGTAGTATCCATTTTCCTTTCGTTTATGGATATTAGTCTATTGTTTGTTGGGTACCAATTGGATAACATCTGGTTTAGTGTGGAACGAGATTAGGGCAACGAAGGGAGCCTGTAGGGATAAGAGGTCTGGATATGTTCTGGGGTATCTGAAAGGAAAGGAATAGGAAAGCTTTTTGAGGACACTGAGTCAAATTTTAATAAATTCAAAAAACTTTGTTCCAGACCCTTTTTTGATTAAAGGTCATCCTCTTTGTCCTTTTTAGGATCTTGGGAACCTTAGATATTTTGCTTAACAGGTAAATCTTGTACACAAGTTGCACTCTCTTGGTGCTTGCGAATTGATGATATTTTTTCTTTCAAATTGCTCGCCTAATTCAAGCCCATAGCTCCTCTGCTACCAACCGAAATCAAACAAAGACAAGTTGAGAAGACCTAAAGGAGAATCTCACAACCTTCTACTCTCCAAAAACCAAAAATGAAGATGGTTGGGGAATTTTTATTCCTATAGGCACATAGGAGGTCCATTGATAAATTTCTTTCCTTTCTTCCTAACACTTTTTGTGGCCAAATCCTTTTCGAAGCTCCTTCCATGAAGAAAAGAAACAATCTTGGGAGATGTCATGCTCTCACATATCTACTTCCATGGAATTTGAAGGCCTGTTCACTCTGATCGCATATGCTGTGATGTGATTTCACTTAGAACTTTCTATCTTTGCTAGGGATCACATTGGGCAGCTCATCTTTTGATGGATCCATCTGGCATTTGGATAACAATGCCATCAAACCAAAGAACTCAATCTCCCTGCCATTAAGATTTCTAGAGTGTTGAATATTCCAAGTCACTTGGCTATCCGAAATGAATTCTAATAAGTCATAAACTGCCACATTTTCGTTATTGATCAACAAAAAAACCATCAAATGCTCAATGTTCTATCTCCACAACCACCTATCCTCCCAAAATTCATGTATCTTCAGAAATACCATATAAAACCACCTGATCTGAGAACAAGCCCTAAACATTCTTATCCATCTCCATAAATTAGTTCCATAGGTAATCTCCATCAACACAATTCCTACGACACCTCCCCTTCAGTTCCATACTTAGCTTCTTATTACCTCCCACCAAAGTTGACCCTTGCACGTTATAAACTTACGCATGCTAAGCTAATAAAAGCCTTTTCATCTTAGCCAGAGATCTAATGGCAGGTTCCCCTAACCATGGGGCTGGTCCTCAACATCACCTCATTGCACTACTAAAACCTTTATTTTACCCATACTATTACAATGAATACCAAATCCAAAAAAAATATATTTCCTAATTTGTTTAGGAAATCTAAGAAACTAAATCTCCTCTGCATGGCAACAGGACACCCAGAATGGATACTGGCAAACTCATAGATGTATTGTCCATGGATAGTAGGAGGACAATTAATGGGATTTAATGTCTCCCTTGCAATGTAAACAATGGTTTATAAAAATTTTCCCTCCTCAAGATGTCTAAAGCAAAAACTTAAAGGGATCTTAAAGCTTCATATTGGAGTTCAATTAAAAAAAGATGCTAAGATATACAATAGTCCGTTAGTGGAGAAAAGTTCAATAGCCTTCTTGAACCATATAAGGAATCTTTCTTAGATTTTCCTAACCTCAAATCATTTCTAAAATGTCAATAAAATGAAAGAATTTGAGGATTGTCAGCAAAGACACTGAACAAGGAATATATAAAGTCAACAAAGAAATCCAGTACCCATGTGAATATTAGAATGTTCAGCTGTCATATTATTGTGGTTCCGATCTCGACCCATCTCAAATGATTGCAATATGTGGGTTAGACGTCTCCGTTCTATAGCCCCCACAATACAATATTTCACATTCTACAGCCAAGATCTGCAAAAACACCAATATGCATTTGCATAAATGAATATCGATGATCATTAGTGTCATAAATACAAAAAAAATCTTCATAACACAAGCTTACATGAATAAGTAAGAAAATTAATTGGCAAAGAAATGCTATCCTTATCATGAGTTCAAATCTGAGAGAAAAAGAAAAGTAACCAATAGATTTTTGCTCCAAAGAATTAGTTTTTCTAAGAAACTTCCACAGAAAATTAAACTGCTCTATAGAAGTCAGCCACATAGTAAGGTCTGTTAATATAGCACAAAGGACGGAATTGCTACTACAATAACTACTAAGGTTTAACTATGACACAAATCTCTCAAAGGCTTGTTCAAACTAGTCAGACTACAAACGAAAGGAACCAAAACAATAAATTCTGGTTAGCAGAAAACACCTCCTTTATTTGTTCTCTACCCTTCATGACAAAATGAAAGAATTTCCTATATTGGTAAAAAATATCTTCCGAGAGAATAAAATTAACATAGCCCTAATGATTGCCCCAGTAGAGGAAAACATAGGAAAAAAATCTCAAAATATGGATTCACAAAATATCCAATGGTTACAAGGGGAAGATATTTGTCAGAACTTTCCTTCAAGTTACTGCAGCAGTAACTGAAATGTTAAGTGAAGCATTCTGTTATGTTCTTGATAAAAGTAAAACTTATCCAACCACCTCTGGACATAAACATATGCCACCAAAGGGACGGAACTTTTTCCATTTATTGAGAAGAAACAAACAAGTGCCGTGGCAATACACCAATAAGATCACTTGGTTAGCAACTGTTCTTCAAATTATTGTCTACAAGATTTCATATACCACTAACTCATTTGCTTCTAGAGTTACTTTCAACTTCAAAATCTTGAGAAAATCATCAGATGCAGAAAGAGGAACATGCTAGGAGCAGTGCAGTCACTTGTTGACGGTAATTTTACGGAAGGCTTGATGTTTTATCATCAGATGAAACTTTGAAACAATTTCAGATGCACTCATAAATCCACCATATTTGGAACACAAAGTCACTATTTACCAGCAAAATGATAATTCAAAGGAAATGGTATAACTACAATGCTAAAGAAAGGTTGGGCGAAAAAATAATCAGGACAGGCATAGAGTATAATAATCTTATCAATTGATAAATCCAACTTCATTTGCACACAGATTTTATCATTTTCCCAACAAAACCATAACCCATTAATGCCTCATAGAAGCACAAGGACATGACCATTGCACAAACTTGAACAAGTATCCAAGTAATCATCTTGCTCATCAAATTCAATTCAGTAGCCATGTGAATCCTAAAGACATAATTTGGGAACAACACTTCTCTGGATGAGTAATTGCCTCCATCAGTGCAGATTCCAATCACATAGTGACTATACTCTCTCATCTCATGGAATCAACAACCTATATTTAACATTTTATTGCTTCAAACTATGGGCAGCATATAAAAGGAGACAAACAGCAAGCCTTTCATCATTTAGGCAAGCAAGTTTTAAATTAAGAAAATTCTGCACAGGATTCAGAGATATCATATTTTCTGGCTGTATCATACAGTCTCTTACAGCACCCCAAGATTTAGATTGCAACTGATTACAATAACCACTTTCTTTCGGGAATCCATGGTATGCAATAATATTAGTAAATTGATGGCAGAATGGATCACTTAATATTTGCAGAATTCATGATAAAACCTCCTTGGAAAAGTCATCAAAATATTTTATGATAAAACGCCTAGGTTGCCCCATGGATTCTAATGAAATCGTAAATCATGTGAGAGAAATCATACCACAAGAGATATTACAATTTCATGCAAGAAAATCGTCTTAGCTCAGCATGAGGTAATGTGAATATAAAAAGCAAACTCGGTTCTTTCACACCCTAGAATAATCATCACAAATGGAGAGAATGCACCTCAAGACATACACTAGTTCTATGGCCATATCGTCTTTGAGATCAACAGTTTTTACAAGATAAATTTGGGAAACCCTCCAAGCTTGCAGTAAGTCAAGTATCTTTGTTGTCTCCATTGTGAAGAAGATGTTATAAAACCCTTCCTTTTAATCAAAGTAAAAAAGTTATTGGACTTACTGCAATTTTTCAGCAGCAAATAAGTGAATTCTAGCATGTAATTGCCGTTAACCTTGTATGAATAAAGGATTTAGAAAATGTAAATCCTTTCTTCTCGGATCAGTTTTCTCAAAAGCGCCTCCAATGCAACACTATTGCATTTTAGCTATATACTGACATGGATGAAATTAACTATCTATCTATTAGATCACATCCATCATTTAGAGAACCAGCTACTAAAACTCCAACTTCTAAGTGAATGGATAAGTTGGAGAAAAGGACCTGCAATGGCAAAATTTCATAGATTAAAGAGTAGATAAACTAGATGTTCACATTCCTTTTTTTTTAATAGAAAAATAGGTATTATTGAGAAAAATATGAGAACATTATAAAGAAAATGACGGATAAGTTATCCAGCTGAAGCAGAAGAGAAAGAACAAAACAGAGTAAAAATTAGATAACAAAGAAAATATAACAGATCACATGACTATAACATCCCAGCTCTTATAAAGGATAGTAAGAGCCTTGTCCCACAGGGAAGCCATAAAATTCATTTTTTCCCAAATAAACATGTCTAGCAAAGATTGGTTGTTAGATGTTTGCCAATTTCTTTCTAATCAAATTGTCCAAAGACCTGCAAACAACATTAGTTGCCATAGTGGTCTAGCCTTCTTCCTGCCACAAACCACCAATATTAATGTTGATGAAACAATCCAAAGGAGTGACCCACGATAAGTTAAATGTGTCAAATAAATAATCTGTTCTATAACTTCCACACCACCTCACATTGTAGAAAGAGATGATTATGCGTCTCTCATCCTTTATGACACATTATACACATGTCAGGCTTACGAACTTGCAACAGCTTGTTGGTGTTTAGCCAATTAATAATTGCTGCCCATACGAAATTCTTCACTTTTTAAAGGAATCTTGACTTGACAGAATGCTTTGGTGAATATGCTATGATAACAATAAGGGTTTTTAGGTATGTGATCAAAAAACGATTTATACGTATATGTACCTGATGATTCAAGACTCCATACCCAACAATTAGGCTGCTGAGAGGATTGAAAAGGTTTTGATAAGCTTAACATGGTAAGAAGCTCATCAGTTTCTCTTTTGTTCAAACTACGAAGAAAATGAATATTCCAAGTACGAGAATTGTTGGAGAAGCAAAAAAACTGGTGCATCGGGGTTTTATGATAGGACGATATACAAAAATGATGGGAAAATTGGGAGTTGAAGAGTCAGTTGCCCCTCCAAAGACCCTCTAAATGTTCACATTCGTTTAGAGGCCCCATTTGTAATACTGGAAGAATTTGGTCATTGCACATACATAAGAATTTTATGATGACTATTTAGCAAAAAGGAAATGGAAGGAGAGAGAGAGAGAGAGAGAGAGAGAGAGAGAGAGAGAGAGAGAGAGAGAAGTGGTATTTGTGGATCTAGAATGAAACTGATGAATCAGTTAGCTCCAAACACTGTTTTCAGGCAAACTGGAAAGGGATGTGGGCTCAACAGCAAGCAAGTTCACTCATTTTGGAAGCAGATCTTATTCATTTATCTGTCCCTGTTAATAAATCAAACATTTTCAAATGGAAAGAAAAAAAGCTTTCAAGTAATCTCAAATGAAGAAAGAAGAGTTAAAACAATAATCCTTGCATCATAAACAAATATGCATTTTACGAATCACCTAAACCTACATGAAGATTAAAAAAACGTGGAAGTGAAGCAATATTATTTCTTCTTTTGATAAAGAAAAGTTTATTAGAGAGAAAGAGAAGTTATAAAAGAGGAGAGCAATAGATATCGTCCAACCAGTAAAAAAACAAGAGAGAGAGAGAGAGAGAGAGAGAGCACAAAGCCTTAAGAGAAAATAGAGATCTAATCCCTTTGTAATGTAGATAGAAGCATCGCCCTAAAGAAACCATGGGGTTTAGCTCAAAGAGACATGAAGATCATCCTATTCCAAACCATATGAAGCATCTAAGAACATGTCCTCCTTTAATTGCAAATTGAACTCAATTAATTTGAGCCTAAAACATATGAGGTAATATTCAAATAGATATTTCAAAAAAAGCTAATTATTCAAATAGTGGTAGAAGAAACCAAATTGGATTTGTTTTCCCCTAGAGAGAACAAAAAAAAGAAACTGAACTTAAAAAGAATATTTGAGGCCTATGACAGCCACTTAAAGCAAAAGATATTTGAGCTGGGATATAAACGATTACTTTAAGCAATTTCTAAACTTTAGAAAGTTGAATATCTGTTTCAAAAATTCATTTTGTTGAAAAGAGAAAAGGCAAAAGGATTAACTCTTCTCAAGAGATATAAACACTGCTCTTCACCTGGAGAATGAAAGAAAAGTAGAGATGTTATAAATGGCCCAATGGTTCCAATAAGTATACTTTATAAAAGCAAGGAACATGAAAGAAGCAAAACTTAAGCTATCTTGATTTCCATAAAAATGGTCTGAAAATGTTTTCTTGAGAAAATTAGAGCAAAAGGAAAAGAAAATAATTTTCTTGAAGTGTTTGGCTTATAATATTTCCTCTGAAACCCTTAGGTTATAGCATGTTAAACCCTTTTCACCTTGAATTTCCTATGAAATGTGCATGATTACTCTTGAAAGAACATTTATTTGTAGGGAAAAAAGTTAGTGGTCAACTCCACAGGCTTTCTTTCAAACCAAATACAAAGAAAGTGAAGGGAAAAAGTCTACTTTCACTTGTTTTCCTTTTCAACCAAATGGAAAGAAGGAAATGCCAAAATCTTCGATTTCTTTTAAGTAAGATAGCCTGCTTGATAAAGAGTTCAGCCACAGAAAAATTATGCTGTCACAAAAAGCTTTCCAGAATGTAAATCTTTTGTCTTTAGTCACTTAAAAGTTCCCTAAAGACCAAGTTTCCTGAAGAGTCTAAAATGATTTGGTAAAGCCTGAAAAAGATAGTCTAAAGTTAGCAAGAAGATAGTAAATTTGAATAAAAGAATTTCCCAGCAAAAACCAAAAGCTTAAACTTCACAAATAATAACTGAAAAAAGAACAAGACAATCAGATGAAACAGTTTTTCCATTAAAACCAGTAACTCACCGTCTTTCCAGAGTAGTTGCTGCCATTTTCCTACAATATAATAGTTTATTTCAAAAGGTCCCCTTTTTGTAAAATGTTCCCTAAATCTCAAAAGAAACAACATATAACCATTTCTCCCCAAGATCTACATTAATATACATGAACCTAAAGAGAACCATTTTTAACTTGTCTACTTAGGCAAACAAATGATAAGGAATTCTTTCTCCTCTCCCACACAATCATAAAAGACTGTCATCTCCAAACTCCATAATTTCCAAAATGTCAATCTTCGGTATAAAACACACCCAACAATATGAATGTCAAATCACCTGTTAGCAGGTCACTTCCATAATAGTATCCATAAATTAAACCTATTAATCATTTTGTAGATTTTTGAATATATCAATCAGGAAATATACTCTGAGTCTATCCATGTTTTGAACATAAATTATCTGCTGCTTTGTTGGATCAGGGCCCTTCTTTTGGAATTATTTTTCTTTAACAGAGGGGGCAGTATACCAACCGATTTTTCAAATCTGCACTAGAATGTTTTTTTCTATTCCCTGTATCAGCATACTTGTATCTTTTCTCCTCTGTCATCCTATTAATAACCAACCTACAGATAACTAACATGGTTTTCTGCATATATATGCTTTCTATATTCCCTTATTTTTCCAGGAATATTTATAAAATTTAACAAACGCATCTCTTGTGCGTACTGAGCTTATAGTGCATAAGTAAATCTCATGTTCAGTAGATTATGCATTAGATTCTTTCATTCATAACGATTAGCAAACAGAACATTCAATGTTTCTCTATCTCCAATCCTCTAGTATACGATAAGCATACACTGTTATAGGGCTCTTGTAGTACTTTCTTTATGTAATTAGAATATATAATCCATCAACTGCTATAATGGCTTGTCCATCTCTTTAGTGTTTTGACTAACTCTAGCAAAAAGCATAAGGTCACAAAAAACTAATATTTTTATTCAGAACTAGTACAAATACACAAAGTGATATTGAGATCTCTAAGAAAATATACAATGTTAGTAAGATTTCAAGAAAGGACTAGAGAGATACAAATATGTCCATCAGAGTGGAGAGACATCTAATTTGCAATAGAGTAGGATGATAAAATCACTTCTGAATCCAACATTCTTGAAATATAAATAAAATGGAAAACAAAACTTTCCAAATACTAACATCCCATCAACATGTTGGTTTATCTCCTTAGGCCTTGCAAAAAACTACTGATTGAATCTGCAATAGCCCTTCTATCCTAAATTCCAAGATTTCTCTACCCTTGCCTCGCAAAGCCTGAACAAAGTTCCATGTTTGAACCATCATCAGAATCTTGATGTCTAAAGAAAGTGAAAGAAATGGAACCCATTTCCCCTCTAAAGAACTGTCAATTTCAATAAAATCCACATCAGCAAAAAGGCACCAAATGAAAAAAATCTGGAGGTAAAAGATAAGCAGCATGCTGCCAGAAGACATAGCTCCACACCTGTTTGTCATAACTTTTAGAAACAAGGTTTTTTTTCACAATAAAGAATGCCTCTGTTCCATAGTATTTCTTCCTGTACAGAAAAATGAGTCAGCCCACCTCAAAATTCTTAATCTTTTCCACTGGCTTTTCACATAAAGTTATATGAAGATTAAACCCCTTTGTTTTCTGTTTCAAATTTCATCTTCATATTGACACTACTACAACTTAAAAGTAAAATATACTGATTGCAACTATAGATATTAATCAAGGCCAAATTAACTAGA